GCGTAGGCTGCAGCCCCTGTGGCAGTGGGTTGCCATGGGCTACTGTGTGTAGCCAGCAGCCAGCAGCCAGCGTGAGCGGCCAGCAGCCACAGTGAGCGGCTGTCCAGAAGCCGGTGACTGATCTGCCTCGCCTGGGAAGAGTGCAATGATGATGCCAACTTGGGCCAGTGAAGCAACATCCTCCAAACTAGACTGAAGAACAAAATTACAGCAACTTGTCTGTTCCCCTTCCCCCAATTCCCCAGCGCTGTTCCCATCCCCTAATTCCTCAATAAAAATCTTAAAAAAAAAAAAAGAGTGATACTCAGGATTCTGGCATAAAGAGTTTGGGCAAATGAGTAAGGCCTCTCCTTTTTAGTGTTGAAACACAGCAGCTGTAGGTTTAGGTGTAGATTTAGGTTTAGGTGATGAGTTGCGTTTAGGGGTGTAGTGTAAGCCCTGAATGTTGATTTTTCTTTTTTGTAACAGTAAATGCCCTGACTTCAGCTTTGATTGCTGAGGCATCCACTTCAAAGATAGCTATCTGGAATAAACACATTGCCAGCGACTAGATATAGAGCCAGTTCTTTTGTTTTAAATTCACAAATAAAGAGTGAGTCCATGAAACCCTAAGCCACCACCCTTAACCCCAATAAAAGCAGAATCTCAGGCCCATATTCGTGCATTTCTCCCCCCCCACCACCACCACCCGCCAGTGTGGCCCTGTGTGCACCATGTAATTGCCAGGACCTGTGAGTATTAAACATTTTTTTTCAAAGCTCCCTGATGGTTATTGCTGAGGGCAGCTTGCAATCATAATCAAAACCACAAGGATCAGTGCAGCCACAACACTGGTTATCTATAGGCTGAGACCTACACACAACAGGGGGTGTCTGTGTGACACTCAGCTACAGGGTCTGGTCTGGGAGAGAAGCCTGAGCTGCTGAGAGAAATGCTGGCATCTGTGGCATGGAGACTGATAGTCTTTGAGGCCAGGGCCAGGAGTGAGGTTGCCCCGAGTGGGGAGAAGAGGACGTGGCATTTGAAGCGTGAGGAGAAGAGAGGAAAGAGTGAGCCAAGGAAACCAAGAGGGAGTGGCCACGAGTTAGGAATGAGGCAGAAGGCCAGGAGTGAGGCATCCCAGAAGCTACAGGAGAATAGTTGGAGAAAAAGAAAGTAAAGAAGTAGAAATCAAGCTAAAACTGAGTCTACGCCCCACAGAAAATGGAAAAGCCTGGACAAAATGTTTGCAAATAGGGGTTTTGTGGACCCCCAGTGAACACATTATAAAAAGATTCATTGGGGTACAAGGAGAAAGAGGAAATAGGGCTGTGAAGTGATGGAAGATGTAGGAAGTCCCAGCTGGAAAGGCCTGTAGCCTGCTTCCCAGGTGGGTGAATGGATCCCAGAAAAGTGGTTAGGCCAGGGGTCAGTGGATGGCTAATCCCATTCCCCTAGGAGGCAGCAAGACCCTGGAGAAAGACCAGCAGTGGAGTGACCGCTGAAGGCCTGGAAGAAGTGCCTGTGTCCTTGTGTGGCAGAAAGGCTCCTATGCTTTAAAGTGTGACAGGGAGAGAGCCGAGAAGCCACCAGTTCTGGGGGGAAGGGCTGACCAGGCAGAGGCCTGCTCGGGTTGAGGTT